CTTTGGTCAAACAACCGGCGGAGAGTCGCATGGTATGTGACTCTTTCCCTCTGTTTGTTTCAGCACGTATCGGGCAGCGTTAATAATTCTAAAAAGCCATTAAACGGGTTGAATTTTGAAATTCATAAATTTTTTTAGCCGTCAGACATCTGAAGTTAGTGACAGTTGAAGTATAACGTGTAAAGATTTCACTTCAATCACTTCAGACAGAAAGTGAGTTTACCGACTGATCGGTCTACTTATGCAGTTTTTAGACTCGCTTTGTGCTCATACCGTTTTTTAAATTTCTCTCCTTAGCATTGAATCGATATCGCTTCCAAAATTAAATTCACAAGTGTCAAGTAAGAGTAAGAGCAAATAAGAAAAGAAATATCAAGAAGCCTCTGGTAAATTTATTTTCTGCATTATCCGTCAAAAATTTTATCGATGACTGCATTTCTGATCGTTTCTTGGCAGTGAGCCCTTCGTTGAGGTGGAGGATGAGATCGGCAGCCAGATGATATGACATAATGATATAGCGATAGACAAAACGAACTCTTCCATATATCCGGGGACGCAGTTGTTTGATGATAACGTTACTGCTCATGAAATGTATTTTTTTGGTGATCATCACCTTCTGCCTTAAGCATAAGCAGTGATGCTCGCTGTATTCAGTGCTTTCCATTACTTTTGCTACAAGGCTTCGTTTACTGCTTCTTAGAAGGAACTATTTCTTTCTTAAAGCAAATCTGTAAACGGTTTCGTACTCAGCCAGTTTGCTTGACAGGGCTACCTTCTTTTCTTCACAGGTAATGAGGTCAGTTCTTCCCAGAATATCTGTGACCACAATATTATTACAGAATTTGCGGAATAGAATGCCTATAATAATTTCTTCGTGGGTTAATATTGGCAATGGTCCTTCCTTTTATGTTGGTGATCAATTTTTTTGTTGACTCACTTGCTGTAATATGAGGTCATGGCAGGAATTCTTTGAAGTTTGGTGTCATAACCTTATTAGTGGCCTACTTAGGGATTCACTATAGCCCTTTATTGCAGAATAATGTTGCCTGAATTTCTTTATTTGTATTGCCTTTTTTGAAAGCAGGATGTGATTCATTGTGATTTGATGGTGGTTTCATGCTAGTCTAATATTTTTGTATTTCAAGTACGGACGCCGGATTTAGACGACGAAAACTCGGTGTAAAGTAAAAAAAGTTTTACTTACTTTACACCGATGCTGTGCAGGACGGGTGAAGTTCTTACTCCGGTGTATACCCCAACATTTCACCGCCAACTTGTTTTTGATCGGATGGGGGAGACTATTTAAACTGGCCGCAGCTCTATGTTATTTAAGCACCTGCAGTTAATGGGACACATGACCGCGTTATGAGACACATGGCCATTTGGGACGCCTGACCGTGTTAATCAGTTTCGCTGAACTATTGCATGTTCAAGCACCGACAAGGCATGCCAATTTTAGTAGATAAATATGAAAACAAACTTTTCTGAGGTGGCTACCACTAATGACAGCTTTCTGATCCCCCAAAATATTAATTGCTTGTTCTAGATAAACATTTATTCTTAAAGTGCATATCTTTATAATTTTTTGCCAAAATATTCGTAAAATCGCTAATATCTGCACTTGTATAAAACCTCTGAATGTTTGTATATGAATGGTGTTATCATGGTTAAACGTTTGTTGTAGAAATGCAGCTGATGTTTGAAGTGTTTAGAATAGGCCAACTTTTTTAGCTAAACAGCAGTGATAAGTTCGTTTTAGGCGCAAGCGCCAAATGTTAGCCGTGTTTGTATCGCTGACTTAAAAGTCCAGAAACAGTTTTGAAAAAAGTGAGGCAGAATCGGAATATGTTACTTTCTGCGTTACCGACTGTACTGAGTTATTATGTCGTCTGTGACTTACAACCTGGTTTGCTTAAAGGAGGTTCGACATACTGTGCCGCTGCTGCTTTGACTTTGCTGAACCAACTGGACGAGTTCTTGAACAGCCGGCAGCGTTCGAAGCTGCTGCGTTGGTGTGTCATGAAGCAGGACAACGGTTTCCACGGCAGACCGAACAAACCGGACGACTCGTGTTACACATTTTGGATCGGCGCTACTTTGCGCGTACAACGAACGTATATTTGAATGTGAACAATAATTCGAACAGAGTCGTTTCAGATCCTGAACGCTATACAGCTGGTCGACCGGGACGCTGTCACTAGTTTCACTCTTTCAACTCAGGACGAGAACGTCGGCGGCTTTGGCAAGTTCTTCGACAGCTTACCGGACGCCCTGCACACGTACCTTAGTTTGTCCGGCTTGGCTTTGCTCGACTACCCGGGATTGCAGCCGGTGTTTGCACCGCTGAATGTCACTGTCAGGACGTCGGACCGGATTTCCTGGTTGCGCAAGGCTCGTTCCAACGGCCTGCCGGTTGTTTGGAATTACGGGTGTGCTGAATTTTGAACATTATACAGGTTCTAGTTTATGTACGAAGATCAAGGTTTATGATATCTTGTGAATTATTAATGATAATGGCAACGAGTACTAATTACCTGTTTTTGCCTGACCTCATGTCAAAATATTTGTAAACTTTTTTAAAACACCAGACGCTGTGCTTTCAGTACACGCTTTTGCTGTGCTGACAGTACATAGTTTAAAATAAATGACAGATTAGTGTTTGTCGTTGCACTAATTGACAGATGATTGATTCCATCCTCTCATCAGAGAGATGTCTAATATGTGCAGACTAGGTAATGATTTTAATTTCTTTTAATTTACATTTAGGCTTACATCTAAAGCTGATTTTACGTAGTTTTTTAATTTACGCATGCAGCCGAAAAACTCAAAATGTATGGCCGTAAATTTCGTATGCGCTGGCATGACCACATCAGAACACAATACTGTCCATATTATTCTTAGGTTAGAGGTTTGTTACTCATTTTTCAGCTGGTAACGCCGAAGCACGGTGTTGTGATTTCTTTGTTTAAGCAGTCTAACAACTTCCAAGTGAAAATTTACACCGCGCGTGTGGTTTGAATGAGGAATGTCTAATGTAACGGAAAATACTAAGTCATCGCGCCATTGTCAATTTTACTTAATGAAGAAATTTGAGAATGACGTTGAGAATTTTGCTGATTCTCAGTCGTCGTTGCACTTTTTCCAGAAGTCGTTATCCTCTATTTTGTCCGTGCACTTCATTATGTTTTAGAAATTAATACTAACGATGTTCTGAGCTGTTTATTCCGGTTGTTGGTTCAAGCACCTCTTTTCACCTCTTGAAGCACCCCTTTAGGGCACATTATTTTCAAATGTACAACGAGCTTATCTAACCCTGATTACAATAGCCTCGGTAGTCAGCCGTTTCTGAGTTAGTGACAGGCTTCCGTTGTGCTGTTATGTCTCAGGAGTGTTTTCCCGTTTAGGCCGCCGTATTTCACGCCATCTTAGATCGGATGTCGTGATCTTTACTCGTTCATGTAGGACGACAATGATACCCCTCGATTATGGAAAGCTGCAACAAAGGAAAGCTACTGATTTTCATGTAATGTGTGCGTTAACGCAACAAATTTAGTTAAGCTAAAAGGGGAAGAAATATTTGTAGCCGTTGGAATGTATGCCTTATTTGCATGTTCATCACTGGATCATTTATGGCTTTGTTATTTTCATGAAGTTAATGATGGAGCGCTGATCTCCATTTCTATTCCAGCAGCTACAGGGCATAGTTGACAGCAGCTGTATGAAAAGCATAGTGTGCTCATTTGTCAACCTCACCGAATAAGGGCAAGTGACCTGATAGGCGCTTGAACGCCGGAGCTATTGGTCCTGAGGCCGACGTTCTACAGACTGGACAACTATTATCTTAGGCTAGATGATGTCCACATCAACACTAACGTTCTCATTCCATGTCGGCATTAATTACTCATCCTACCAAATCTCTGATCGAGGCGTTCGATTTTCTTTCTGCAAAGTCGTCAGTTGTCCATTATTTCGAGTCCTGCTCAGAGTTGCAGATTTTGAATGTCCTACTTGAGAGTTCAATCACCATATTGAGCCTACAATTCCAGAACGAGCGTGAAGGCTTTGAACTAAATGCATTCCACTTTTTTGTCTCAAGTGGTTGTCGTCATACTGTGGTTGTTTTTTCGAACTTATTACCTTGAGTCATTTGCATGAACAGAAAGATTGTGTATTGTGATCACAGTTTTATTCGCAGCTTTAAAACAGTTTTGCTGAAAGGCACCAGTTATTTATTATAAAATGAAGTATTTCTCTCCAAGAGCCGATCTTGTCCTTCGTATTGCATTTTGGTTTCCTGGTGGACTTCTGACATGTTTTGTCGCTTAGCCAATAAGCTCCTGGCGTGGAATAAGTGATGCATATTCAGACAGTTTGTCTAACAAACCCGACTTCATTTTCTTAATCTCCACATCTATTGATGTCACTTATGTGTGGAATGGAATCAGCTGAT